GTCAGGGCAGCTCCAGCCCTCTATCCCCGGGAGTGGGTCCCTCTGCGGGGCACACAGCCTTGGGGGGCAGGGTCTTGGCAGGAGCTCAGCCCTTTGGGGCCCCAGTGCTCATGCTGACTCTCCCTCGTCAGCACAGCTGTGTCCAGCCAATGGCATCGCCCAGGGCTGCTGGGCAGAGCCTGGGCGTGGGCAGCCCTGCTGCCAGGGCAGGAGACGGACCAGCTGGAGCAGGCCTGGATCCTTCCCCTGAATTACAGCTCTTGGGGCTGCTGTACCCCCACACTGGAACCTGCAGAGCACAGTGTCGTGCAGCACAGCTGTCCTGGCAAGGCAGTGAGTGCCACAGGGAGCACTGCTGGCCCTGCTGGGGGAAGGCAGCACCAAACCAGCACCAGCTGAAGGTTGGGATCTGTCCTGAGCATCCTGTTGCCCAGTGCATCCTCACTGCAAGCAGTGTGCTCCTGGCTGCTGCCTCCCCCTCTTTCTCCTGGCACCTCGCACTCATCTCTGCCATGCAGGGAAAATCAGGACAGCCCTGCCCTGGGCACAGGTGTGGGCGAGCTCCAGCTGGGCAGGAGGGAGCAGCAGTTTGTGCAAACAGCCCTGGCCAGGCTGTGCTGTTTGAGCTGCAAACAGAGCTGCTGCCGGAGGTTTCACTCCAAACAGCAGCTGTTCGGTTAAAACAAAGGGACCTGGTGGTGTTTGGGAGTGTGCAGAGCAGGGCTGTGGCTGCGCACTGCCATCCTGGCATTGACCCATGGCAGGGGATGGCTGGCAGCAGGGGTCTGTGCCAGGAACTGGCACTTGCAGCCCAGGCCCCTCCATCAGGGTTTGGGTGGGGGCTGAGTGGTGGAGAAGGGCCAGGAGATGTGAGGAGCAGAGGCAGCACAGGGGCAGGTGGCTGGGGGTCTGTGGAGGCTGGGAGGGCAGAGCCAGAGGGGAGACTGTCCCTGCCAGCAAGTGCCAGGTAGGGATAGAGGGGACATGGTAGGGGCCCAGCAGGGCTGGGGTGCAAGGAGATGGCCCCAGGATGCCTGTGCCTGCCAGCTGCTGCTGTTGTCTGCCAGTACTCACCACCTTTCTCCTCTGGTGCAGTGCCCTGTTCTGCCCTGCAGATGAGGACTCCCAGAAGGAGGAAGATCCCCAGCCTCATGGTGCTGCCAGGGATGTGTGTGACCAGGGCTGAGCCAAGGATGGGTTTAAAGCCTGTGGAGGGGATGGCAGGGCTGCTGAAGCTGGGCTGCTGGCTGTGGCAGGCTGGCTGTGCTGCAGACAGGGGGGGCAGGAGGAGCAGGAGGAGGGGCAATTCCCAGAACCACCAGTGCCCTGCCAACCATCCTGCTTATCTCCGGCTGAGCTGCTCTTCGGGGTCAGAGTGACCGGTGGGGCTGCAGAGGGCAACTGGGGTCAGGCAGTCACTGTCCCCTGCTGTGCACAGCCCTGGCCCTGCCACAGCTGTCTGCCACCCCCTGCCTGGGATTCTCTTCAGCCCCCCTGCCCTTTGCCTCTCCAAGGTGGGGGCTGAGGATGGGCCCCACAGCTTCATCCCAGAGTGGCAGTGAGGGCAGCCAGAGGGTCTCTGCCAGGGTGCTGTCCCACAGTTGTGGCTTAGCTCAGTTGGGTGCATGGAACCACTTAGGATCCAGCACCATGAGGTGGGAGATGTGTCTTGGGCCAGCTGGTTGTCCCAGCATGGTGATGAGGCTGAGCTTGGACTGGGGAGCGTGTTGGTGCTGCTACAGCCTCTGGCAGGTGGGTGCTGCTCCCCTCCTTCTCTGGGTGGTCCATCTACCTCCACTCCCACTTTTTTTTCCAACCAGGTTTTCACACTTTGCAATGCAAATGAGCCCTTCCTTGGTGCGAGGAATCCAAGGGAACTGCTTTCTGCACTCAGGTGCATGGCTGAGAGGGGACATCAGTGTGGCCATCGACGCAGGGGGATGGTCACTGCAGGGGGATGGTGGCTGGAGGGTTCCCTCATGGAAACAGGAACCACTCCCTGCCCCAGGGCTGCCCGTGCCTCCGGGAGCCCTCTGCAGAGCACTGGGATGGTGACCCCAAGCAGATGGTGGCCATGTACTGGTTTATTATATGTCAGAAGCAGCTCGGGCCAGCAGGGATGCAGGGGTTTGCCGGGCTGCCGGGAACGAGCACCGAACCCGCAGGGGGTGCTGCGGGGGGTGTGCAGCCCTGACGGCGTGGCTGGGAGAGGCTGGGGGCGCCAGGGGCCCCCATCAGGATCTTCAAAGCAATGCTGGTGCCATCATGCTGGTGACATTTTGCAGGAGGTGCAGAGGGTCTGGTGCAGGGATGGGAGCAGTGGGTGGTCCTTCCCGGCCAGGGCTAGGCTGTGCCTGGAAGTGACAGATGAGGCGGTCCATTCAGGATGGGTGCTCCTGCCCCAAGGAAAGGCGGCCCCTGGGGTGCCTCTGCCAGGGCCCCCCTCAGCAGCCAGCAGGGGAGAGGCCCATGAATTGCTGGGCCCCAGGAGGTGCTGGGCTGGGGGACCGTACCCCACAGTGGGGGAATGCACACCCGACTGCAGCCCTGCAGGCAGCACTTCTGGCTGGGTGGGCAATCTTGGTCCTGCAGGCACAGGAGGTGGCACTCAGCTGTCCTGTCACCATCAGCTGCCAGGGGACAGAGCCCAGGCCCTGCTGGCACATGCAGAGAGAGAGAGGGGTGAGGGAGTCACCTCCTGTGGGCTGGCATCCCTCGGGGTGAGCTCCTCACTGGCTCCTGCCCCACAGGGACAGCAGCTGGGTCCCACACTCCCATCACACCCAGAGGGTGATGGTGAGGGGCAACCTTTAGGGAGGTTGGGTATGGCCAATGGGGTGCCAGCCCTGGCAGAGGGGGCCAGCCCAGGGCAGGACAGGGAGGGGACATGGGGGGTTGTGGCCCAGTGGGCACTGGTGGCTTTACCCTCAGTGGGTGGTTTGCAGATGTGGCCGCAGCCAGTAGTGCAGCACTTGGCAGTCCCTGGGCAGTTGCCATCGGTGTCACACAGTTCCAGACAGGGCCCCAGGGAGCCCCGCAGCACCACAGGGCACACGCCAGGCTTTGCTGTGGTATGGCGGCTCCCTGGGGACAACAGGGATGGCAGCTGTGCTGGGGTCCTGCTTCCCACAGCCCTGCTCTTGGCACGGCCTTGGTCTCCATCCTACCCTCATTTTGACCCCCATCTTGACTCCTGTCTTGCCCCCTGTCCTGCTCCTTCCTGCCCTCAGCTGCCAGCCTTGCACCCACACCAGTCTGACTCAATGAGACCAGTCACAGCACAACATGGGATGCTGGCTGGCAGCTTGGAGGGGTGAGGGGCAACCCGGGCTGCAGTCCCTGCCAGCAGCCAACCCCAGTGGGGCACGGAATGGCAATGTCAGGAGGGGGGTGTCAGGATGGGGTGCAGCCCCACACCCTCTTGAGTATAGCCCACTCATCATGGAAGGACTGGGCAAGGGGGTCCCTTTCTGCAGCCCCCCTGTGCCTTCCCAGGGCCTCAGGAGGGCCGGGCTGTGCCCGCAGTGGGTGTGTGGCACCAGGCACGGCCGGCGGCACAGGCTCCCCGGGGGCTGGATGGCTG